ATCCAATTGTACTGTGCTGCACGTTACCCACCAATGTGACATGCAGCCTTCCATATACTCACTCAAGTCATCGATGAGTGTCTCACACAGGATCAGGCTGCAAACAGGTTCTGCGCTTCCCTTTCGGGCTGTGGCTCTCAACCTGGGCTGCGCGTTGGAAGCACCTGGGCAGCTTCCCACAGTCCTGATGTTCAGGCTGCCCCCTACCGCCCCCTCCACCAGAAGCTCCCAGGTGAGACCATGTTACAGCCAAGGTTGGAGCCACTGTGCCACATGTACCATGTTCATTATTTCTCCAGTTTGAGTTTTGTAGCAAGAGTTTCCTAAAGAAAGGCCCCTATTTTTTCCATCTTCGCTAAAAGGTTTTCTTGAAACCTTCCATCATGGGTTGAAAGACGCATGCCAACATCCCCTGTATATACTTATGAAGTCACCATGTCACAAAAGAAAACCCTTTTATCCCACCGTGACTTGCCCCTGGTGACCCCCAGAGCTGCAAACGCCCCCACACTTTTTCTAAATGCCCCCAACCAAACCTTTTCATAATCCACTGAAGGACCTTGCCCAGGACTGATGTCAATTCAGACTATGAAAAATCAAGCTCTTTTCCTATTTGAAAGTGAAAATTCCACTCTTCGGGTCCTTCTTTTGTTTGATCACAATGTCTCAAAGATTTTGACAATTGCTCAGCCACTTCATATACAAATTCACTCTTGGAAGAAGTTGAGTTTTTAATGTGAAGTGAAGTAGGCAGAGAAGGTGAGATTCGAGTTGCGCCTTGAAAGCTGTGCATTGGCGTTGGCTAAGCTGGGAAGGATGGTAAACGTGAGGTGGGAAGGGCTTGACCCAAGCAAGGTGTGGATGGGCAGAGCTGGTGCGCCGCAGGCAAGCGACATGGGTTTGGAAGCAGGGTTATGCACCCACCCCTGCTCACCCCAAAGAACTCCTGTGTTTGGGGGTCCTCAGGTTGCTTCTTTTTCTTGTGTAATCCTGGAGGGCAGGGTTACTGTGATTTTTGCTTCTGAATCCTGAAAACCTACAGAAACGCCTTAGAACATCATAGTCCGCGAATGCCTATTGCAAATAGATGAAGAAGTGGATTGTTTTTCAGGTATTTGAGGGGGTTGTTGATTTTGTTGTTGTTTGGTTTTTAGTGTTGGTTTTAGGTTTGTTGTTGGGGGTTTTTTCTAGTTTTTTAATATAATAATCACATATATAGCTATGTTTGTTCTTTAAAAAAAAAGGACACCTGTGCCATGCCATGCCATGCCAAAGGACACCACTGCATGCCATGAAGCAATCTACAAGCCTTACTTGTGAGACCAGTGTTATCTATCAGGAGCTGTTTTTAACACTTTCACAAAGAAGCAAGTCTGTTTCTGGCCTACTGCTCCCGACCCACTGAAATCAAGCCTGTAAATTTAGGGTGCTGTTGACACATATAACGCTAGGAAAGCTAAATTTAGCGTGGAACGTAAGCAGAATGGCTCTTCTCCCTGGACTCGCTCCAGTGTCCCCGCCCCTTTTAAAAATAACCCATGACAAAATGCATCAGGTACCAAGGAATCCTCCCATCTGGAGTGAAACACAAGCTCAAGCCAGATCATAGGATAGCTGTGTGTGAATTCTCGTAAGTCCTTCAGAAATGTATCTAATTACAGCCTGAGAAAGATAAGATGGCAACATGGCGATGCTCAGAGGAATGAACTAGCTGAGGAATTGATGTTGCTAATGAAATGAATAAAGCACCTGCGGAATACGTACGTGAAGGGGGAAGAGGAGAGAGCTTCATGCTAGGGAACGATGACAAGGGAAATGGCCTCTGCGGTGTTTCTATCCATCGTCTTCTGTACACACCTGCCTCTCACGTCCGAAGAAGGCTGTACGTTTCTTGAAGACATCTGTGGACCCAGCAGTGTTTAAGGCACATAGGGACCCTTGGAAAAAATCTCTGCTGTTCCCATTGATGATACTGATTCTGTCTTTGCTGCTGCTGATGGAGACAAGGGAGATAAACTTTAAATGTGAAAGGAGCTTTTCAGGAGCCCTCATAGCACACCCAATGGACAAGGTCCTCTTATGAGACTTGGTAAGACACGTTTACCTGGGGAGAGGTGGGCTGTGCAGGGCAGCCCATGCCTCTGAGGGGGACCCCTCTGCCCCTGGCATCGGAGTGCCTGCCCTGGATAGACCAAGAGTCCAAAGGGGAAAAGGTAGCAGATGACCAAGATTGAGAGGCAATTAAATGCAGTTGAGCCCGTTTCAGAGAGACAGACCTATTCATTCTTCCAACCGTCTGCGTGAGGACCTGCGTATATGGTGCCCTGTGCTGGGCATGAAGAATCCCATGGAGATGAGGAACAGCAGCTCCTGGTCAGGTGGAGTAACCAGCACAGACACGTGACCCTCAGCACCAGCCAGGCACCGCGGACAGGGTGCCAGGACAGACATCAGGACCAGCTAGGGAGCTGGAGGGAGGCTACGCTGAGTGTTCAAGGAGAATGAGTGGGGCCGGCCAGGTGACGATGGGAACATAGAATACCAAGCAGAGGGAACAGCACGTGCAGACCAAGGCACCATCAGGGGGCTGACTGCAGAGCCCTGTGCTAACGTGTCACATGCTCAAAGACAGCGGTGAGGGACGAGGCAGGAAGCCCCTGAATTCAAAGTGACATGTTTGGACATTGACCATCTCAGGATTGGGACACCTTGAGCGAGCTGCCTGACTCTGAGTCCCAGCTTCGTCTTCTGCAAGTGGCATGAAGGCTACCCACGTTCAGGGTCACCTGGACTGAGAGCCACTTACAGGGGATGGCGGGGTAGCGCGCCTCCTCCTGCGGCTCCCTGAGCTCTGAGAGCTAGAGCCTGGAGGCCCTCCTGCCCTCTCCGCACTGAGCCTCAGCCCAGGCACCACGCAGCGTGGTGAAGACAAACCCACGCCCCGTGACAGCCGGCTCAGGGAGTGACCAAGAGTCCCCCACCCATTGCTGTCGCCAATGTGAGCCTTTCAGCAGCAGAGATGGGCAGACTGAGGCCACGCCTGTCCCATGCCAGCACCCCTGCAGCCCTCTTCTGCAGACAAGATGTGGGTTTTCCCATGGGGGACCCTCCAGGCTGTGGGTCAGACTGTGCATGCACATTGATGCCTACAAATCAGGTCTGCCATAGGGTAAAACAATCTTTATTAAATTATAAATGAATTCCGTTCACCTCCACCTTTCCCCCTTCTAAGGAAGGCCAGGGTGCCCTGCTGGGCCCCCCCTTTGTTGTGGAAAATATTGGTGAAAGGGCCCCCCCAGGGGCCAGGTTACCCTTCAAAATAAAGATGTTGAACAGAGAGCCTGCTCAGGTTTTGGGGAGCTCAGAGAGAGGAGGGGCAAGCCACAGGCTGCTTTGGGGTGCAGAGGAGACTGAGACAGAGGGACATGGAAAAGGGGTGCTTAAGAAGTTCCACTGTGGGGCGGGCCGAGTGGCGCGATGGTTAAGAGCTGGCTTGGGACACCAGAGGGCCCCGGTTCGGATCCCACATATGAGGGCCAGTGACACTGCCCTCTACAGCTAAGATGCTGAACAACAGCTCAACCTGGAGCTGAGCTGCCGTGAGTCACCGGCGACAGCGTAGGCTGCAGCCCCTGCTGCAGTGGGTTGCCATGGGCTACCGTGTGTAGCCAGCAGCCAGCGTGAGCGGCCAGCAGCCGCAGTGAGCAGCCGTCCAGAAGCCGGTGACTGATCTGCCTTGCCCGGGAAGAGCGCAATGATGGTGCCAACTTGGGCCAGTGAAGCAACATCCTCCACAACTAGACTGAAGAACAAAATGACAGCAACTTGTCTGTTCCCCTTCCCCCAATTCCCCAGCACTGTTCCCATCCTCCCAATTCCCCAATAAAAATCTTTAAAAAAAAAAAAAAGAAATTCCACTGTAACTAAGGACGTGCTGCCTGTGAACCCTACTCCTTGACTTCAAGGCTTTTCCTGCTGTCTCTATGCTGTTTGTTTGAATGCAACATCACATAGTGACGGGACCCCATGGGTCCCCAAGTCTAATGCTGGCATTGATGGATGGTGACTACTGTTATTCACCCTCCGAGTCTACACGTGTCACTCTCCTGAGCCTGGGCCCACCCTCCCCACTCTCCTGGGCCTGGGCCCACCCTCCCCTCTGCCCACCCAGGCAGCGCCCACCTGCCGTCCTTCCTTCGGCAGCCTCTGCTCACATGCTTTTTAACTGTGACTCATGTGGACACGGCCATGGGGCCTATAGCCCAACTACATGGGCCCATTACAACTTCCTAGTAGAAGAAAAACAAGTGGGGAAAAAGGTGTGCAACTTGTGTATTACCTATAAGAAAAAAATGATCTTATTAATGTTTAGGCTATAAAACAAAGCCCTGCCCTAAACTGTAGCAAGTAAGTTACAAATAGAGTGCTGTTACCATTCATTCAAAAAAAAAAAAAAAAGGTGTGGCATTTCTCATCTTCAGCAAAGGATGCGCATTTTGGGATCAGTTCTCAACAATGGAAAGAAAGAGGCCACCAGGGGCCCCAGATGATGCCTTTGGGAATCCCTGACCTGCCCTCTGGGGCCTCCCGCCTGGGGACACCCGTGCAGAGCTTGGTCACTTGCAGCGTCCAGCTGGGCCTCCCTCACACATCCTCAGGCCTGACACAGCCCTCGGAATGCACATCCGCTCACCATGGTTACAGCAGCAAAGCAGGCGGTGGGACAAAAGCCAGAGGACATCCTCCAAAGCGAGCAAGAGAAGGCCCGTCCACGTCGGTGTCTGCGCTTGCGCGGAGAGCTGTTTCAGAGACATGCAGACGCACCTGCCTCTGGAGTCCACATCTACATAATCACAGAGGGGTGGCTGGGCTCTGTGGTCACAGGACGCTGGTCATATCAAGTGACCATTATCACATCAGAGCCCACAGGAGTTATAAATACACCACCACCGAGGCCCAAGTGGATGACAATTGAGTAATGACAATAGAAATAGCTCGCGCTCCATAAGACCATCTTCCCCCTTCCTGAAGAACTTGTCCGAAATCCACGGCATTGCCATGGAGAGGTGGCCAGCGCCAGCCCGAGGGGAGCTTCTCATCTCTGAGAAGATGGAACACGAGCCTCGAGCTAGTGCTGGGTCCCTGGCAAGCGAGTACCACGCCGCCTTGGTCACAGGGGACCTGCGCCGCCTTGAGCCTCTCTTGGACCAGTTCTTCCAGGACGCCAACATGGTGTTCGAAATCAAGAAGGAGGAGATGGAGTGGCAGGTGAAATCCCTGGCCACGTTTGGCCTCTCAGGTACCCTGGCTCCTTTAAAGCTGAGTTATTTGCTCTTCGGGAGCTATTAACCTCCTCTGAACATACAGCCCCAGTGTGCAGGCTGCTTACACAGGCTCCCCATGTAATAACACGCGCGAGCAAAGGACGCCTACAAGTGAGATTTGGTTTGCATGAGTTTTAAGATGTAGGTTTTAGGCGGTGGGATGCGAGAGGTCAAGTTGGAAAGACCAAGAGGCTGGTGAGAAGAGCCCGCCGGATGCTGGAGGTGCCTCTCGTCTTTAAAAGCAGAGTATGGGTTTGGGCGCCATCTGCCAGGCCCTGCTCTTGGCAGCCAGGGAGGCGGGGGATGGGAGAGAAACACCTTCTCCTTCGAGGGCGCCCGGAGCAGGGCCCTGACGTGAGCTGTGCCTGCGCGAGGTCCTTCTAGGAACCCATGGACGCCACGACTGCAGCGGGGTGGCTGGGGCACAGCCAGCACCCACAGAGGGAGAGCTCTCAGCACAGGCTCCTCCTGGAACCTCGGGGAGCCTGGGAAGGGAAAGGAGGGTGAAGAAACCAGAGGTCCCTAAGTCAGGTGACTGACAGCACTCTTGCTGCCTGAACACTGCTATGTGCTGGGCAGGCAAGAGACCCCACGAGTGGGGAGACGCCCCCCACAGCCCCACCCGGGGTGAACCGACTTGCTGACCACCAGGCTGCCGCGGGCTCTCTCGCCTGGCACTCTGCACTGAGCACCCTTCCCCATGTGTCCATTGCAACACGTTTAGCCGAGAGGGTCACGTGTCGGAATCCACAGCAGCTTTGCCAGACCGAGAGGATTTGAGGCTCTGTGGTCAGTGGGACAACGGCCAGTATCCCATGTCCCTGACTCGTGAGCTCTGGCAGGCAAAGAATGCGGAAGGCTGGCCTCCAAAGAACTGACACAGTTCTGTTTATACCTCACGCGGGAGAAGGGAATAAACCAAACACTGTCAGAGCAGCTCACAGCACCCGGTGAGGGGCAGGGGCTGTGGGAAGATAGACACGTCCAGTCAGGGCCGCCCCACTTCCCAGTGAGGGAGCCCAGACCCCTCCTGGGCCTCCTCTCCCTCACCTGGCCCCGATGGGCACACAGATTCCTCAAGGGCTACGTGGCGATTCAACCAAGAATGCCAAATGCTTGAATGCTCAATAAATGTGTGGGGTTTTTTTTAAATCACACTCCTTCCAGCCCTGGACACTCAGGCAAGCTCAAGTGTTGCAATTTCAAATAGATACTCATGTTACCCCGTGGTCTGCTTAGTATTAGGGCAACAAGCAGGCTTCTGCCTTTTTCCCTCAGTCGTGCTGTTATTTCTATGGCTCACCTGTACGACCGGAAGCTAGGGCACAGGGGGGGACGGCAGTTATTAGGAACCAGCAGCCCAGAGAGCTAGTGCTGACCCCAGGCCTCCATATGGCGGGAAGAGAGCGTGGGCAGAGCTCCGGGCCGCTGGACTCCTGGGCTCAGCCACCTGCCTTCCCTTCAGCTGGCCCAGCAGCAGAAATGACCGAACGCTGTTTTGAGAACAGCAGCCCCCCACGCTCTGCTCTCTCATATGAAGCCTTCCTGGTGGCCAGCTCCAGCTCCCCCGGAAGGAAGCCATGGGGACCATGGTACATCTCACAGGGTCACAGTGACTGGCCCCTTGGTACAGCAATTCCTAAAGGAATGCTGGTCCCATCCAGCTCGCAGTCCGAGGACAGCACTGGCACAGAGGAGCTGATGTTTAGAGGGATGTCCCACGTGGGGAGAAGCTTACACCTGCGTCCCTCCTGGTGGCAGAGCCTGGACCAGGGGGTGGGGACTATAGGAAGCCGATTCAGGCTCCCTGATCCAGAGCTGCCTCAGAACCCAGGTTCTCCCAAAGGCTGGAAACTGAGTGCCTTCTCCCGGGACCTGGACAAGGGTGCCAGCCCTAAGCGAGGGCTGAACTAAATGCCCACCATGGCCCCCTCCCATCGGTCCATGGGCAGGCTCGGGAATCCAGGGTGGGTGAACAGAGCTGCCGGTGGGTGGAGTTGGGCTGGGAACTCAGCAGCCCTGGAGAATGCAGCACCCCCATCCTTCCCCCCAGTAAGTAGACTTCCTAGCGCAGAAAAACGAGCAGAATCAAGAACGAGGAGCTGGCCCTGCCGGAATGTAGGTCATTGTCATCGTCTAGGACTACACCCGCCCTTCGTGCTCCAAATCAGAGCAGGTCTTCACTGGGAAAGGCAGCCCATGAGCCCCTGGGCCGCTGGCCACCATCATCCACCACCAGGATGACAGGCCGCCACACGCCCCCACGGAGTGTGTAACAACCTCCAGGCTGGGCCGTGGGGACGTGGGGCAGGCCGGAACTCTGCAGGTAGGTAATTATGAGTGGTCTTTCAACACTGCACAGCATGGGTCCCAGGAAGGAGGTGGCCTGTGAAAAGGGTCTCCTCCGCAGCTCATTACAGCCACGGGATCGATTCTTCCATCATTATCAGAAGGCATTCCTGCCATGTGAAATCCTGTCCCTTGAAGTGTATTCACCAGGGGCTGCTCCCCCTATCTCCACGAGCGCTCCTGGACGCTAACAACCTTCCACGGGCCTTTTGAAAGCCCAAAGTTTTCAGAGAAGTAAAATGCATGGCACCTGCTCCATTCATCCCGCAAGAAAGAGCAACCCTACACACACACACACACACACACACACACACACACACACACACACACCTAAAAACCGCACAGAAACAAGCCAGAGCCCGCTGAACGTGGCCCGCCACATCAAAGCGCGCTTCTAAACTCGGCCACTTCCAAGGCCCAAACTTTCCGAGTCCTTTTCTTGAGCGATGCTGGTGCCATGGGTCCGTTTGTTTTGTCTGTTGCCTTCTGCTCTTAATGATAAAGGGTACATACGTGTGGGGTTGAATGAGAGAAAAATCCACAGCTGACTTTCCACCCTTCAGCTGTCCCTAATTCAGGGCCTGGGGAATGTCAGGTCCTCACTGTCCACCCTGCTTGGTCGGCTTTTAACACCTTGACTGGCACCCAAGTCCCCAGTCACCCCATATTTGGCACAACCATCCTGCTTGCCCCCTAGCTCCACACAGCCCCCCATTCTCTCTGGCTCAGGTTTGGCCTCCTCAAGCTCCTTGTTATTCCCTTTCTCCCGTGTCTCCATCTCTGCCTCCTTCTCAATGTCTCTGTTCAGCTTCTCTGTGTGTGTGTGTGTGTGTGTGTGTGTGTGGTGTGTGCCCTTCCATCTCCCTACACTTCTGTGTTCCCTTGATATCTCTCTGTCTGCCCCGCTCTGCGTTTGTGTTCCTCCCTCTGTCTCCCTAGCCCTCACCCCATCCGTGCGCTTAGCTGGATCTCGCTGGGTTTCTCCGACCCAACCCTCAGCGTCCTTGCCCATCTCCCTGCAGGCCCACCTGGTGCCTTCTTTTCAGAGATGGTTTCACCCTACTTCAGCCCTGATGGACCCCAGCCCCGCCCTGGCGCCCCCCACTCATCTCGCTTCTCCCCCTCCCCGCAGGCCTCTGGACCCTGGAGTACAAGCGGGAGCTGACCACGCCCTTGTGCATCGCGGCGGCCGGAGGCCATGCGGACTGCGTGCGCCACCTGCTCAGCCGCGGCGCGGACCCCGACGCCAGCCCCGGCGGCCGGGGGCCCCTGCACGAGGCCTGCCTGGGAGGCCACACGGCCTGTGCCCAGCTGCTGCTGCAGCACCGCGCCGACCCCGACCTGCTCAGCGCAGAGGGCCTGGCGCCCCTGCACCTCTGCCGCACGGCCGCCTCCCTCGGGTAAGACACGCCCCTCGGCGCCGGCCACGCCCCTCCGCCCGGTCCCCGCCCCCAGCCCGATGGCCCCGCCCCGCCCCTAGCACCCCGCGCCAACCGACCCCACCCTGACCCAGAGCCCGCCCTCGGCCAGCACCGCGGCCCCACGGCGCGCTCCACCCAGAGCCCCACCCCCGGGCCCGGACCCCGGCTCCGGCCCGCGGCGCCGGGAGAGCGTAATTAGCCTTGATTGCGAGCGTGAGGGGGGAGGCGCCACACCGAGGTAATGAGCGGGGTGATCAGGGCCCGCAGACGCCGCCCTGAAGGATGCTAAAAGGCCACTGGCGGGGTTGGAGGCTGAAAAATTAGGGTTTTTAATGATAATTTTATGCAGGATAATTGTCACAGTGTGACATAAATGGTTAGCTCCTCCGGCGGGGCCTCAGAGCCCCACTAGGAAGCCGAGCCGGGCCGGGCATTTTCAGGTGCTGGGGTTCTGGGGGCTCTGCAACCACCCCATCCAGCCCCCGTTTGTCCTTGCAGAATGTCCGTCCCCATGGGGTCCAGTAGGTCCAGGAGTGGCGGCAGGGCCACCCTGTCATTGCGCAGGATTTATGTTCGGTTTCTCAGCTTGCAGTATGTCATCTTGACATTTCTTTTAGTCAAAACGTTCCAGTCCCTGCCCTCGGGGTTGTAATTTCTTGGCCTTCTATCTCTGTAGCGAGGATTAAATAAAATCACCATGGTAAGTGCAGGCTGGCAGGACTACGGCGCTCTCAGTGACCCAGGCAGGGGCACCGCCTCCACATGTCACCTGAGTGCAGAGTGGAACCCAGAAAGGCGCGCGAGAGCACCCCCAGTCCTGAGAGTGACTGAGGGAGCAGTGTCCGAAGGACATGCTTTTTAGAAACAGCCTCACTGAGGTGTAACGCCACACAATAAGCGGCACGTGTGTAAAGCGTACAACTTGATAAATCTGGACAGACATGTATGCGCTCGTGACACCATCCCTATTTATCAGGGGAGTGAACACACCACACCCATCACCATCAAAAGGTGCCCTTGCCCCATTGGTATCTCCCGGCTCCCTTCCTCATTAGCTCACTGATTTGCGCTATAGTTTAGCCTGGATTTGCTGGGATTTTATATAAATGGAATGCACTCTCTTCTGTCTGGCTTCTGTCACCACCATCGTTCCTTTGAGAGTCATCATGTTGTGTGTATCCGTATTTCACTCCTCTTATCCGCGGTATCACTGCATGGCTATGTGTTCTCCATCCATATGTTGAAAGACATTTGGCGGTTTCTAGCTTGGGGCTATTACACACAATGCTGCTATGAACATTTGTGTATTCGCCTTCAGATGGGTATAGGCACCTAGGATTGGAATGGCTGGGTCCTATGATATGGTTAAGAGATAACCTTGTAAGAAACTGCCCCACTGGTTCCCCGAGTGGCCGTACCCTTTTACATTCCTACCAGCAGTGTCGGAGGGTGCCAGTTGCTCCAGCCTCACCAATATTTGGTGTGGACATTCTGTAATTGTAGATATTCTGCAGGTGTGTACAAGTCTATTTGAGAAATGATTTGCATTTCCCTAAAGACAAGTACATCTTCTCATGTACTTATTTGCCATCCATATACCTTCATTGGCGACATGCCTGTTTTAAAAATTGGGTTGCTTGTTTCCTTCTTAAATTTTGAGATTTCTTTATATATTCTGGATACAAGTCCCTTGTCAGACTGTGATTTATAAATATTATCTCCCAGTCTCTGGCATATGTTTTCTTCTGTTAAAAGTATCTTTCGAAGAACAGAAGTTCTTAATTTTGGTGGGACCCAGCTTATGAATTTTTTTTTTAGGGATTGCGTTGGGTTATTGTATCTAAAAAAAAAAACCTTTGCCTAACCAGGGGTCACAAAGATTTCCTTCTGTTTTTCTCTATAAATTTAATAATTTTATATTTTACATTTAAGTTTAAACCCCATTTTGAGTTAATCTCTGAATGTGGTGTGAGGTGAGGTATGGCTGGAAGCATTTTGTGTGTGTGTGTGTGTGTGTGTGTGTGTGTGTGTGTATGGATAGCCACTTGTTCCAACACCATTTGTCTGAAAGCCTTTCTTTTCGCCACTAAAGTGACTTTGCGCCGTTGTTGAAAATCAGCTGACTACATATGCGTGGGTTTCTTTCTGGACTGTCTTGTTAAGTACACGCAAGACAGCGCAAGGTCTGACTGATTTAATTGGTAAGGACCCAAGGAGCCATTCTTAGAGTCACACCATGCGTCACTTACACACACAGTGGAAAGGAGAACAGCCAAAGGTGCCAATTCCTCACCGTCCTTGTCCCACACACCACAAAAAAAACAATGTCTAAACAAAAGGGGCCAGGTGGTGGCAATATGAGTTGTAAGTTACCCTGTTCATGAACAGCCAAACCTAGACTTCAGCTGGACGGTTCTATACTCTGCAGCTGTATTGGGGGTCTAGGGGGGTGCAGGGCAAGGCAGGAAGTCTCAAACTTCATGAGAACCCAGGAGGCAAAGAAAAACTGTCTTATGAAAGCCTTCCAAGAGACATACAGGGGCAAGGGGACTTTAGCAGCTCCTTACAAGCCTCCCACCTGGGAGGATCACGGCGTGTTCTGCCAAGACTTAGATCAGCAGTGGTTCAGACCTCTGTTTGTGTGACCTACATGGATACGTGCAAGGTCACCAGGGCTCCATGGCAAAGCCATTCCCCCCTAACTCTGTTCTATGCCAGTGACGTATTTGTCCATTTTGACACCGGCACCACATTGTATTGAACACTGTGGCTCTATGAAAAATCTTGAAGGTCCATTAGCAGCAATGAGCACCGTTCTTCTTTTCCAAAGTTGTTTTGGCTATTCTAGACTCTTTGCATTTCCATGTAAATTTAAAAAATCAGTTTGTCTGTTTCTACACAAAAGGCTGATGCTGGGTTTTGACTGGGGTTGCTGTGAATCCACTTGGGGAGAACTGACATCATAAAAATCCTGAATCTTGAAACCCATGAACACAGTAAAGCCCTCCGTTTATTTAGGTCTTTAATTTCTCCCAGCCACATTTTTTTAGTTTTCAGCGTATAAGGCTTGCACATATTTTGTCAGGTTTATCCCTAAGTAGTTCATATATCTGATGCTTTTGTAAGTGGTATTTTTTATTTAAATTTCTGATGGCATGTAGGTACTATACAAAATTTATAATTTTATTTTTGTAGATTAATCATGTACCCTGCAACCTTGCTAAGCTCACTAATTGTTCTAGTAGCCTATTGTAAAGTTGACAGGATTTCCATGTAAGCAATCATATCATCTGTGAATAAACACAATTTTACTTTTTTTTTTCAATCTGGATGTCTTGTATTCCTTTTTCTTGCTTTATTGCAATGGATAGAACCTCCAGTGCAATATTGAATAGAAGTAATGAGAGCAGACAACTTGTTTATTCCTGATCTTAGAGGAAAGCATTAGATCTTTCACCATTAATTATGATATTATATGTATTTTTTAGATGATATTTTGCAGACTGAGAGGGCTCCCCACTATTTGTAGTTTGCTGTGAGTACAAATTACCACAAACTTCAAAACTTAGAACACACATTTATTATCTCATGGTTTCTGTGGGTGAGGAGGTTGGCCATACCTTAGCTGGGTCCTCTACTTTAGAGGCCCTCACAAGACTGTAATCAGCATGTCCCCAAGGGCTAGGGTCTCATCTGAAGGATCAACTGAGGAAGACTCTGCTGCTGAACTCTTATGGTTATAGGCAGAATTGAGTTCCTCAGGAACTATTGGACTGAAGGTCTCAGTTCCTTGCTGATTACTGATTGAAGGCCATCCTCAGTTTGTGTCTTCATTTTTAAAGTAGATTTATTATAGGCAGATTATAATTGGGACTTGTGGGGTTTTTTTAATCCAACCTGCTAGTCTCTGCCTTTTAATTGAGTGTTTAGATCATTTATAGTTAATGTTATTTGGATATGGTTAGGTTCAAATCAAACATATTGCTATTTTTTGTCATCCATTCTTTGTTCCTTTTTTTTTTTTGCCTTCTTCTGTATTGAGCATTTTTCATGATTCCATTTTATCTCCTTTATGGCTTATTATATATAACTTTTTGTTGTGTCATTTTAGTAGTTGCTTTAAGGTTTATAGAATACATCTTTACTTTATCACAGTGTGTCCTCAAGTAATATCATCCAACTTCACATATAATATAAAAACCATATGACAGTTTACTTCCATTTCTCTCCTCCTGGCCTTTATGCTATTGGTAGCATACATTTTACTTCTGCATGGAAGTACCACAATACATTATTATTATTTTTGTTCAAACAGCCAGTTATCTTTTAAATGTAGTGAAATAAAAAAATGTTTTTATGTTTACCTATGTAGTTCCATTTCCAGGTTCCTTCATTCCTTTGTATAGATCAATGATTCCATCTGGTTTTATCTTCCTTCTGCTTGAAGGGCTTTCTTTAACATTTCTTATAGTGAAGGTCTGCTGGTGATGAATTCTTTCGGTGTTTGTTTGAAAAAGTCTTTATTTCTACTTGAGTGTTTGAAAGGTACTTTTTTTTATTCTCAGTACTTTAGACACATGGCTCCACGGTCTTCTAAAATCTGTCCTTCTCATCTTTGTTCTTTCATACATAATGTCCTTTTTTTTTTTTTGGTTTTAAGATTTTCTCCTTATCACTGGTTTTAAGCAATTTGATAATGATGTGCTTTGATTTACTTTTCTTCCTATATCTTGTCCTTGAGATTCATTGAGTTTCTTGGATCTGTGGGCTTATACTTTTCATCAAATTTGGAAATTATGGGGCAATTATTTCTTCACATTTTTTCTTTACAATCCCCTCCTCTTTTTCAGGGACTTCTATTGCATGTATATTAAATCACTTGAAGTCATTCTGCAGTTCATTGATGCTTTGTTGTTCTTTTTTTTTCTCTGTAATTGATTTATCTTGTGTTCTGAAATATCTGATCTGCCATCAATCCT